CCATCTTCACACTATCCCCCCACCGACCCCCACCTGCCCGCACCCATCCCCAGCCCTACTCTCACCCCACTTCCACTCCTCTCCACTGTTTCTCCACCATACACCACACACTATGGTGGTACGCATCACCAGTCCCCCTCTTCCCCATTCCCTCCCTTCCCCCCCCCCCTTCTCTACCCCGCTGCCGCTCCTCCCGCTACATTGACGAAAGTCTTCAAAGTTTTTGGCGCCAACTCACGCCCTCCTCCGCTGCCACCTCCGATTCGCCCCACCCCCACATCCCGGCCACAGGACGCGACGCAGTTTTGGCGGGTCATTGACGAGATGGAAGAAGTGGTGAAAAGAAGTATGATGACCACCGTATCCGATGTCTCCCATGCTTCGTCATCGCCACATGCTCTGTCCTCGGACTCGATCGACGCCATGCCGGCTTCCTCGCTCTCTCCAGAGGCACCAGGCTCGGCTCGCGGCCTCTCGGTTGAAGCACCAGGAACACCGCCGCGGTCAACGACAGGAAGATCGATGTCGGCTCATCTGACGCTGTCGCCGCTGCGGAGATCGTTTGAGGCGTGCTCGTCGCCAGGTGCCGAGCCGACTCCGCCGCGGTCGCCGCGGTCGCCGGCATCTCCGGTCTCCCCTGCGTCACCGGCGTCGCCGGCGTCGCCGCACTCTCCGCCCAAGATTGACCTCTTTGAGCTTGATCCAGAGGATTGCCAGTCGCCAATGCTGCTTCTGCCGTCGCCGATTCACCGGCCGGTCGGCCCGGCCACCCCGCCGCGAGGCGGGCGGGAGCGGTCTCTCGCGGCGTCGCTCAACTCGAGCGATGACGAGGGGGTCGGCTCAGTCGACGAGCTGGACATGGAGCTCCTCTTTGTCGAGCTCCTCGAGTGCTCGGCAGCACTCACGGCGCACTGCAAGAAGCACACGCCGCGCGCGGTCGAGATCCTCACCGCCCCGCCTGTTGTGGCCTACATGGTCAAGCTGCTCGTCGACGATTCGCCGGCCGCCGGCGATGCTTCGGTCGACGATGCATCGTACGTGACCGAGGGCGCCTCGTCCGAGGCGCTGCGGGCGTTGGCACTCGATGCCATGTCAGCACTCTGCGCCTGCCCTCGGCCGCATGCATGTGTGACGGCGCCATGGCACTTGCGCTCTGTCCCTGGCTCGAAACACTGACGGCCGGCCTCGCCGGCCCGGCCCAATCGACGGTAAGGTGGCCAAGATGGGATGTGAGCTAATTGCGGGTGCGGTCCTCTCGCGCCCGCATGAGATCCTCACCCAACTTCGGCATCTTGACACTCATTTCGCCACTGCCCGACTCGTCCCCCACCTTGCGGTGGCGGAGAGCCAGGGGCCAGCGAGTCTCGCACTCCAGGCCGTCTTTCGCGCGGTCACGACCGAAGAGGCGTTTGAGGCGTGGCTGGTGGACCAGGGCGTGCTCCGCGCGCTCGTCGACGCTGCGCCGGACTTTGACGACATTTGGTGCCTCCTTGGCGGCGTAGTCGACGACGTCTTTGCCGACGACGCCGGCTTTCTCGACACCTCGTCCTGGTCCGACGCCTCGGTCTCCATGAGCGCCGGGAGTCCGCCGCGCGGGCCGCTCGCCATCGCACTCACCAGCGTCCCGTTTGTGGCCCGCCTCCTCAAGCTGGCCATCGCCTCCAACTCGGTCCCGCTCGAGCCTGCCACCGATGCCGCGCTTCCGGACGTTCTCCACACTTGCGAGATGTCCGGCGAGGCGCTGGCACTGCTGGCGCAGTTGGTTCAGGGCTATGCTCGCTGGGCCTCACCCGAGGAGCGCGGCGCGACCCGCGACAAGCTACCCGGCCTTGTCACCTCGGTCCTTGTCGCGCTGCCGATGATGGTGACATCACTCGGCTTTGCGGCCACCGGCCACCTCGACGCCTTTGCCTCCCACCGGCCTGCCGTGCTTGGCTCGTCGCGGCTCAAAGTCATCCAGTTCCTCACCGCTCTTATCGAGTGCGAGATTCCGGCAATTGGCGATGAGCTTGAGCGCCTCGGCGCTGTGCCCAAGATCATCGACCTGTTCTTCGAGTTTCCCTGGGCCAACGTTCTCCACTGCCAGGTGGCGTGGACCATCCGCTCGATCATGGAGGGCAGTCATTCTGGGCTCAAGGCCGCGCTCTTTGGTCCTGCTGCCTTGCACGTTCGCATTCTCGACGCCTTTGCCACACCCTCAGCCTCGCACCGCTTCGGCTACATGGGTCATCTGTTGCAGATCTCCAACGTTCTCGCTCGTCTCCTCCCGCAGCACGACACGCTTGCCGCTCATGTCCTCACCCACAACGACGAGGCCTGGCTCCACCACGTCACCGGCGAGGTCCGTGCCCGCAACGCGCTCAACCAGCGGTGGAACGTCTCGTCGGCGTCCGATGCCGACGACAGCCGCCTCCTCTCGAGCTCGTCGTCTGACTCGCTCTCTGACGACGACGACGATGCTGCTGCTGCAGCCGAAAACGCCGCTACCGCCGCCACCGTCGCAGATGTCCTCCTCGACGTCGAAGCCATGCTGGAGGCGACGGCACCGACTGTCGCCGACGCCGACGACATCGCGGACGCTCTAGCAGGCATGGAGGCGGAGACGTCGTCGTCAATGGACAAGGACGCGATCGAGCGTATGCTGCTTGCCTCATCCGACTTTGAGATCGAGCCGACGCTCGACTCGGGCTCACTCTCGGACTTGGGCTCGGGCTCGAGCTCAGACGACGACGACGGTGCCGGGCACGATCTCGAGAACGAGGACGCCAACGCCAGTCTGGATGTCTGCCTCGCCCGCGAGGAGCTTGTCATTCAGATGGAGATGACTCGCGTCAAGGAAATGCTTGCTCGCAAGCGCGCCGAGGCCGCCGAGGCTGCCGTTGCCGCCGAGGCCGAGACTGCCGCCCGAGCCGGCTATTATGCCGCTGCGCCTCCAGCCCGCACCCCGCTCGCCACACCTGGCCCTGCCGAGATCATGCACCTGCTCAACACCAAGCAGATCTCGCAGGCCCAGGCTAATGCGCTCTTGCATCGTGCCGCTACTGCAGCTGGCATGTCGCCAGTCCGCGGTGCCCGGTCGCCTGCAGCCCGGTCGCCTGCAGCCCGGTCGCCTGCAGCCCGGTCGCCTGCCTCTGCTCCCGCCCAATACGCCGGCCACTCTTCCCCGCAGCGCTTGCCCCTCACCCATCATCGCGCCTCCCCGTACCGCCGTCGCGGCCCGCACCCGTAGTCCGTGCGGCTAGCGTAATGTCGCGAGTCACCCGCTTTTGCCGGACAGAATGGACAACCTTGTCTATCGCGCAAGGCGCGCTCTGCGACGCTCCACAGACGTTGCAGCGTCCATCAATCTCGGTAAAACAGTAGTACAATGTGTTAATGGCTGCTGTGGCCACTGGTGGGCTGCAACAGAAAACAGTCGGCGATGCAAAGATGGACGCCGCACGCGGCGCAAAAGGTCCGCGGCCGCGATCGCTTGCTATGAAGCTTCCGGCAGGCGAGGCAGTCGCATCGCAGAGCGGCTCGCTGGGGAGAGTGGTGATGACGAGCTCCCCACCTCTGACGTTTTCCCTCCCCACCACTTGTCTTTGTCAACCTCACCCTCGCCCCATGTACGGCCGCCGCCCACAAGTCAAGCTTGCCCGCCGCGGAAAGAGCGTGCGCATGTGTGGGGGCATGCCTGTGGCCGAGTCCGTGTCGGTCACCCTGGCGGCACTCCCGCGCGGAGTCCACATCATCACCAGCGTCATCGAGGATGCTCTGCCGAGTCTGCCTGAGGTCGAGGTTGGTACCGTCTCGATCTTTCTCCCGCACACGTCTGCATCGCTGCTGTTGAATGAGGCTTGTGATCCTTCTGTCCGCGTTGATCTGGAGATGGTGCTCAACGAGCTCGTGCCCGAGTCCGAGGCGTACACCCACGACGACGAGGGGCCGGACGACATGCCTGCTCATGCCAAGTCTATGCTCCTCGGCGCATCGGTCACTCTGCCCGTTCGCTCTAGTCGGCTGCTCCTCGGTACCTGGCAAGGGCTTTGCCTCGCCGAGCATCGTGATCACGCCCGCCCCCGCACTCTCCATCTCACCCTCCAGGGCATGAGCGCGGCTCCATCGGGACAGCCTCGCGCCGACGCGCTCGAGTCAGCGTCATCATCGTCATCATCCTCATGACATTGCGATGGTGACCCCATGCAGCCATGTGTGGCTGTGTGGCGAAAAAAAAGGTCGTGGTTTTCGCCGTGTGCGGCGTGCGCCCAGGTTCGGCGCGGCGGCAGGCGACACGCGACTTTTGGACCAAAGCCGCGATGGACGAGATGCAGGGCATGGAGGGCTTTACCCTTGAGCAGACGCCCGGGGTAGTCGCTGCCTCGGTTTCGAGGGGTCGGCCGGCTACGGCCATGGTTTACCCGCCGCGGGCTCGGTCTCTGGCGTCGCAGACGCCCGGCTCGGCCCGGCTGCGGTTGGCGAGTTCACGACCTTTTTCTGCGGCGGGACACACACGGCGGGGGAGGAGCTCGCGGTCAACGACGTCAGCAGGCTCGCAGACCTCGAGCAGGCGGCGGACGCGTTCGCCGGCGCGGCCACGGACGCGTGGCGCTGCGGCCGACGAGCCGTTCTTCATCGTCGCCCTGGCAGAGAACACCAAGCGCGAGCTCGGCGTCGCCGCCCTGGACCTCCGCTCCGGCCGCGCGCTGCTGCATCAGTTCTCCGACTCGTACGCCTACATGTCGAGCCTGGCCAAGATGCAGCTGTACACTCCTCGCGAGGTACTGCTCTGTGACACCGTCTCGGAAGGCCTCGCCACCGCGCTCTCGGCCGGCCTGGCCCACTCGGACGCAGATGGTGGCCAGCCGGCCAAGCTCGTCAAAGTCGCGCGCAAGTACTTTTCCGACACCGCAGGTGTACTGACCATTACCGAGCTTGCCATCCCAAGCACCAAGGTGGTGGCCACCCGCGAGGCGACCAAGTACCTTGCCCTCGCCGCCTTTGCCGCGCTCATCAAGTACGCCGAGTTCATGCACTCGCTCCACTTTGCGCCGTCGTCGCTCGCCGTGCGCTTCGTGCCCGAGGATGGGACACTGGCCATGACCAGGTCGACGATGCTGGCTCTCGAGCTTGTGACTAACGCGCGGACGGCGTCGTCGTCGCGGGCGTCGCGGGCGGTGGCGTCAGCGGCGGCGGCGGCGTCCTCCAAGCCGCTCGCTACCCTCCTTGCGCTGGTCAACTACACCGTGACCAAGATGGGCTTCCGCCTCCTCCGGGCCAACATGCTTGCGCCGCCGAACGACGTGGACACCATCGGAACTCGCTCCGACACCGTCGACCTCATCCTTGCCCACGAGCACATGGCCGGGGCGCTGCAGGCTTCGCTTCGCTCGCTCACAGCCTCGGGCTCGCTCGATCTTGACCATCTTGTCGGCGTCCTCGTTCTCTGTCAGAAGATGCAGGGCGCAGACAGCGCCCCCCCTCCGCCGTCGACGCTCCATGCACCGTCGCCCGGCACGGTCATCACCTCGCTCCTTGCGCTCCGCACGGTGCTTGACGGCCTGCCTCCGCTTGTGACCGCTCTGGCACCCGGTGAGGCGTCGCCGCTGCTGGCCGCCATCCGCACCAACGCCTCGTCGACGCCGCTCGCCAAGCTCCACGGCCATCTCCAGCGCATGCTCACGCCCGATGCATCGTACGTCCGGGCCCCTGCTGCCGCACGCATCCAGACGTGCTTTGCCATTGCCACCGGCATCGACGGCCTCCTCGACGTCTCCCGGACCATTTTCTCGGCCTCGCTCGACGACATCCAGGCCCACGTCACCGATCTCGTCGAGAGGCACCCACACCTGCCGTCGCTGAGGTTGGCGTGGACCAAGCGGCGATCGTTTCACCTCACACTAGCGGCCAAAGACGCACCATCGGGCCCGGACCTCCTTCCCGACGTCTTTATTTGCGTCTCGCGAGTCTCCAAGACCCGGTACATCATGACCACTGCGGTTTTGGACCAGCTCGCGGCGCGCAATACCGAGTCGGAGCTCGAGATCTATCTCATGTCAACCAAGGTTGCCGAGGGCATGCTCGCCTACGTCCGCAGCGCCGCGGGCGCGCTGTACAAGCTCTCTGAGTCGCTCGCGCTTCTTGACATGCTCGTCTCGTTTGCGGCGTACGCCGCCGAAGCACCGGTTCACCACACCCGCCCACACCTTGCAGCCGACGGTCCGCTCGTTCTCCCGCACGCGCGGCATCCAATCCGCGAGCTCACATCGCCGACGCCATGGGTGGCCAACTCGGTGTTCTCCGACCAGATGGTCGCCTCCTTTGCACTCATCACCGGTCCCAACATGGCCGGCAAGTCCGCGTACCTCCGCACCACTGCGCTTTGCGCTGTCATGGCCCACATGGGCATGCGCATCCCAGCGGGCGATGGCGCCGCGCTCCCGCTGCTCTCCGCGCTCCACACCCGGTTTGGAACAGAGGACTGCCTTGAGGCCAACGCGTCGGCTTTCACTGTCGAAATGCGCGAGATGGCACACATCCTGGAGCTTGCCACTCCGGCATCGCTTGTTCTTGTCGACGAGCTCGGCCGTGGAACATCGACCGCCGACGGGCTCGGCATCGCACTGGCGGTGGCGGAGGCTCTGCTCGCCACCCGGGCGCACACGCTTTTTGTCACCCACTTTCGCCTCATGGCACTCCTGCCGCTGGTCAACCTCAACGCTCGCCTCCTCCTTGCGCTCCCACCGCCGCTCACAACCGGCGACGCGGCGCCGTCGAGCCCGTACGCCATGACTGCCCCGGCCGAGGCCGAGGTTGCGCCGGGCGCTCCGGCGCCGGCGACCTCACCTCCGCGCCGGTACGGCCTGGCGCTTGCCGCCGCGGCCGGGCTCCCACCGCCCCTTCTCGACGCGGCAGCTTCACTTGCCGACGCGCTGGAGGGCATGCGGCTGGCATCGCTCCTCCGCTCGCAACGGACCGAGGCGCTGACGGCGTGTGCGCATCGACGCGCCCGCGCTGCGCGCTACCACCTTCGCGCGCTGAGCATGGTGCTTGCGCCGGGCTCGGCGCTTGCGCTGCCGGCGCGGCGCAGCTTTGTGACCGCCACCCAGGCAGCGCTCGCAGAGCTCCGCACATGACGGCGCACGCCGAGCTCCACACAGGCGAGGGACATAAACTGCACGCATTGCTTCAATTAACTTGCCGCTGGTGCGAGCGGATGGCGTGCTGGATGTCTACGGTGCCCTTCTCGCGGGCGACGGCGACAATGCCGCTCGGCAGCGGCTTGCTTCGGAGCTTGTACTCGGTGAGCATGCGATCGACGAGGCTGAGCTCACCGCGGATGACGGCATAGGTGAGAGGAGACCAGGCGTGGATCGCAGTGTCAGCACTCTCGTCGACGTCGACGAGGATCGGCTCCTCGAGGCCGCACGCCAGCTGGGCCGGGGTGAGGCCGGCCAGAAGCGACGGTGGGGGTCCGGCGTCGCTCCGCGAGGCGACTGACGACGAGGCCGACGAGGCTGCGGCGCTCCCACTCAAGCCTCCACCCGCTCCGCCACCAATGACGTCAAGCGAGGCCATGTTGAGCAAGAGCAAGTCGACCATGCGCTCGCAGCCGACGTGAACAGCCCGCTGGAGCGGCGTCAAACCACCGAGGCGGGCATTGACAAGCGCCTGCACAAACGATGGCCCGGCGGCACTTGAGGCGTCGACGGCGGCCGAGAGCGTTCCGGACGACGGCGACTTGCGGAGGAGGCTTGCGGCAGCGCGCTTGGCCTCCCGACGAGCCTTGATCGACGAAGCGCTGCGCGGGTCATGGCTGGCGCCGCCGGCCTCGAGTGAGAGATACCCGGTGGCGGCCATGCCCATCTGGGCGGCAGCGGCAGCCATCTTGTAGCGATGCTCGGCCTCGCCGACGGCCTGGACCTCGTCAAGGAGGAAAAGCCCGGTCTCGTAGTCGTCGAGCTGGACGACCACATGGAGGAGCCGGACAATGTCGGGCCACATGAGGGCGAGGACGGAGGAGAACGGGCGGTCGCTCGCTGCGCTGGCGTCGTCGTAGTCGAGCTGCCGCGGGCGGAGCGGAATGCGAAACAGTGCCGAACCGCCCTTGAGAACGAGGAGGATGGGGATCTGGCGGGTGAGCTCGGCCCATCCGGCAACGCCCATGCCGAGGCCAGGGCGGAGCTCGATGGAGAGCGAGCCGGACCGGAGCTTGGAGAGCCGCAGCAAGGTGTTGACAGAGACGTTGGAGAGCGGGCAGTCGAGGCGGAGTCTGCGGAGCTGCGGAAGCGAGGCGAGGAGAGACTCGAGCGAGGCATCGGTGAGCGCGAGCTGGACCGAGTCCTCGTCCTCGTCGTCATTGACCGAGTCGTAGCGGATGACGAGATACTCGAGAAAGCCGAGGAGGCGGATGGCGCGGAGGAAGCGGTCCTGGCGCTCCAGCGGCGCGAGCGAGGCCCAATTGACGTGCATGAGAAAAGCGTGCAGTGCCGAGCCGGGCTCAACAACTCGATCGGCGGCACCTGCTCGAAGCCACACACCGTGCCTGCGGAGCTCGCGCGAGACGCCGCGGTACTCGTCGCGCCGCGCGTCGCGCAGCCGCTGAAGCTGCAGCTCCTCTGCCGGGCGTGGAAGCGCCTTGCGTGATGCAATGGTGGTGAGGACCGAGTTGGGCTCGGGCGAGAACTCGGCGGCGAGCATGTAAGTGGCGGCGACAACTGGGAGGATGTGTGAGAGGACCTCAAAGGCTGTGGTGGGCAGGTTGGCCTGCGCCTTGGCGCGGAGCAGCGACTGGACCCGCAACAGGCGCTCGTAGACGCGCACCGGGGCACCGGGCACAAAGGCGAGCGGGAGGCCCATGGCCTCCATCTCATGCGGGGTGAAGACCGCTGCTTCCGCCGCGGCAGTGTACACGTTGTTCTTCATCCGGAGTCGGGCGAGCCAAGAGAGTAGGATGCGCTCTGGATAGAGGGCAAGGAGCCTGTCGACGACGCTGTCCGGGAGCGGGGTGTGCATGTTGGGCATGCAGAAGAGAATGTTGGCGAGAGCAACAAAGGCGGTCTCGGTCTCGACGTCGTTCACGATGGGGTCCGAGAACGCAATGCCGGTCTCATACGAGAGACAGGGGACGAGATCAAAGCGGCCGGGCGCGGTCTGAGAGGGAACGAGGATGTACGAGGTGCCTGTGGCCGAGAGGTCGCCAATCATGGCCATGAGAGCAGCCATGGCAAACGAGACCGGGGTGATGCAGGCAAAGGTGGCGGCGCGATCGTCCGGCCGAGCAAACATTGCACCGTGGAGGAGCTGCTCCAGATACATGGCGCCGCGCGGAAGCGGGGCAAACAGGAGTGGGGCGGCGAGACCACGGGTGTGGAGCTTGAACAGCAGCGCAGGCGGCGGGCCGTGGCCGGCACCGAAATTAGCTCTTGGAGCAGGGCAAGCGCGTAGAGCTCGGATGGGCCGACCGGGAGCGGGACGGCCTGTAGGCCCATGAGAGTGACCGGGTGGAGGCGAGCCGGCAGTGACTCGGACGGCGAGTCCGGCTCAGTGGCATCGACCGCTGGCTCGGCCTTGACCAGCCGGGCCCGCGACGAGGTGCGGAGGGCGCGGACGTAGTGGACCGCGAGCAGGCGCGGGAAGAAGCGCGGCGGGGCGAGCTCTTGCGAGTAGAGGATCGGGCGCGACCAGGTGACGGCCGGAGCCTCGCCGGTGGCGCTCGAGGCCGAGGCCAGCAGCGAGGCCGCAAGGCCTTGCATGGAGAGGGCGTCAAAGGCCATGTCAAAGACAAACTCGTAGTAGGTCTCGACAATGATCTGCAGCAAGATCGAGACTTCCGAGGCAAGAGCCGAGAAGGCGTCGGCCATTGTGTCGTCGTCGGTCTCGGCGAACGAGGCCTCACCGGCTCCCGAGAGCATGGCCTTGGTGTCGATTAGCTCGAGAATGGTTTCCTCGAGTTTGTATTGGCCGCGCGACTTGCGACCCGGGGTGGGCGACGGGAGCGACGAAAGCTCACCTGAATCGTCGAGGCCCGCACTTGGCGAGGAGGCGGCAGCATGCGATGCGCCACCGGACCTGCTCCGCCGACCGCCGCGCTTGCCAGAAAAGAGGCGGGCGAGGAGGGTGGGCGAGGAGCCCGAGCGCGGCGAGGCAGCGAGTGATGAATCATCGCGGTGGGCGGGAAGAGTGGCGGCGACAAGGGTTAGCGACTGCGGAGCCGACCGTGAGGCTTTGTACTGGCGCTGGGCAAGAACGAGCGGCTCCTCGAGAACGTTGAGTGTGTTGGAGACGTGGGCGAGGACGTGGATGACCTTTTCGGAGAGCTGGCTCGTCGAGTCGCGGATAAAGGCGGTGAGCATGTCCATGATGGTATCCGCGGCCTCGGAGACCGGAAGCAGCTCGGCGGAGACAAGGCGCGAGTAGATGACCGGTGTGTCATCACAGAGAAAGACCTGGCGCCCGTCGGACGAGGCGAGGCCAGAATCGGCTACCTGGTCCGCGACCGCGTCGGGCGAGAACGGCAGACCGGTCGGCGCTTGGCGAAAGACAAACTTGATGTGGAGGATAGCGGCGTAGTAGGCGAGAGCCGAGGCAAGGAGTGGTGGGCGCAGGACATCGAGGACAAGCTCGCCAACAGCATGGGCCGCAAGCTCGGCAAGCGTGACCATAACGGCGTCGACGAGGGCGGAGAGATCTGCGACGGCAGAGCTGCGGGCGTCGGCCTCGGACTCGGGCGAGAGCTCAGCGGCCTCGGCGAGGCCGTGGAAGAGGTCGTCGAGGCCCGGCGCGACGGCAAGCGGGCCATAGAGCATGGAGTCGATGCGCTTGATGGGCGCGAGGAGCGCGGTTGATCCAAACCGGGTCTGGACCCGGACCAGAAGAGCATCGAGAGTGGTGCGCGAAGGCAGGGCGACGTCAAAGTCGGGCGGAAGGACAGAGAGCGCGCGGGCGAGGCCGAGGACCGAATTGGCGTGCTTGGAGAGTGCGGCGAGGGTGTCGAGCTGCGCGGCGTGCTCGTTGGAGCGCTGGATGTCTGCCAGCGACGTGGCGCGGAGCTCGTCGAGTGTGGCGAGCGGAATGTGAGTGAGAATAGTGTGGGCGCAGGCGAGGATGGGCAGCGGATCCGCGTAGATGAGTCTGTTCGAGGCCGGCGGGCGGAGGCCGAGCGCCGTGCCCTCAGCAAGCACAACATCAGCGTTGAGCTGGAGGGTGGCGACAGCAGTGGCAACGAGGAAGAGCGACGAGGCGCAGAAAAAGAGCGAGTCAAGAATGAGGAGGACAGATTGCGGGGTAAAGGTATTGATGAAGAGCGAGAGGAACCACGAGGAGGCCACAATGTGGACCTCCTCCTTGGGCAGGCAGCGGGCGAGCTCGGGCGCCTCGCGAGCAAGCATAGCGCGAAGGACTCGGATGTCAACTAGCGCGCCAAGGAGGGTTGGCGCAAAGTAGTTGACGAGAATGCCCTCAAAGATGGCAACAGCCTCCCAGAAGACTAGCTCCTCGTCGTCCGGGGTGACAAGAAGGAGGAGACCGACGACAAAGTTCATGCCCTGGCAGTATGCGTGGTCCGGATGGTGGGCGGCGTAGGCGAGGAGGACATTGGAGAGCGAGTGCCTCAGCTGGCCGCCGTCGCGAAACTGCGCATGGTTTGGAAAGGTGCGTGGCAAGTCCTTTCCGATCTGGGCAACCACCGCCTCGGGCACATCAGCCACCGTCCGTGGCACCGGCGGCAGCATGTCTCCAGACTGACGAAAGCGGCCACGATCCGACTCTGCGGCCTCGGCCTCGAGCGCCAGGAGCGAGGTGTGCGACTCTGAGCGATGCGACGAGGCCACAGACGAGTTCAACTCGTCCGCTTGCCCACTCATCGGATGAGCGGAAGAGCTGGCCACCGATGACTGGTTCCTCAGTGAAGAATAATCCTGTCCAAGCGAGGGCACCCTTCCTCCAGCCAATGGCGCGATGAGGGCAGCATAGTAGCCTGGCCTCGCCTGGGCTCTCAGCGAGTGGGCTCTCAGCAGATGAGCCCACATTGCCGATCGTGACGAGTGTGGCAGGCCAGTTGCCATGCGGGGAGTCAGATAAGGATGAAGCGGGGCTGAGGGCATGAGATAGGCTAGAGATGGAGTGCTGACATGGCTTGGAAGACGCGCCCATGTTGCCTCCCTCTCAGCCTCGTTCTTGGCCACAGCCGCCGCATACTCTGCGTAGGCAGCCGACTCGCTCGAGTGTTCAAAGCCAAGAGAATCTCTCACAATACCCCGTCCACTCTCGCCCGCACTGCTGCGTGTAGGTGGGGTGGTCATTGTGGGAGTGGGGTGGTGGCGGTGGTGGTGGTGGTGGTGGTGGTGGTGGTGGTGGCTGCGTGTTAGGAACGTGGCGGGCGGCGGCGGTTGGAGCGGAAATAGTTGCAGGCGCGCGGGCGCGGGGGGTGGGGATGTCGCTGATCGGGAGCGATTAGAGGTGTTCGATGGTAGGCGTGGAGTCGTTTGATGAAGATATGAACGTGGCGGGGTTGGGGGAGTTGGGGGTGGGTGGGTGGTGGTGGTGTGAGCGCGGATATTTGACTACGGAGCAGGCGATGAGGGAAGCGGGACCAGCGGTGGCGATGGCGCGACAGGGACATAGTGCCGCATAGGCGATGGTGCCCAGAGCGGATACCGCGGTGTTGTCGGCGAGTTGACAAACGGCGACGGCGCGGGCGTGGCAAGTGGTGGTGGCGTTGCCCCACGCTGCGGCGATCGGAACCGCGACGGCGACCCAAACGACGGCAGTGCCGCCCGCCGTGCAGCGAGCGCACTGCACTCTGCCGCAGGTTCCACTCGCGCCCGCGCGAGACCGGCTCGGCAAACACATCCAGCGGTAGATCGCCGTTGACCCGTAGCGCCGCGCCCGATGCGCGGCACGCTGCAACAACGGCAGGCGCCACCGGCGAGCCCACACTAAGCCCATATGCCGACGGTGAGAACACGCCGACACCCGGCGAGCCGGCAGCCACGCTTGCCGGATCCCGCACCGGCCCGCTCGCAGTCAGCAGCACCATCCGCACCAGCCGGACCGGCGGCAGCGCCGCCCGGAAGCTCGCATCCGCCAGCCACGCCGCGATCTCCAGCGCACGCTCGGAACTCGACACCACTGCCACCACCATCCGGCCCTGTCCGACTAGCCCATCCACAAGCACCCGAAACTCGTCGCCAGATCCCATCCAGCTCTCCACCCGCCCACACGTCTTCTGCTCGACCACCACCGGCGGCGCGCCTGCCGCACCAACAGCCATCAACCCCTCACCAGCCCCATCCCCACCCGCTAGCGCCCCATCCCCCTCATCTCTACCCCCAGCCTCGATGGAAACAGCTGATCCTGCGTCAACTGCAGCCTTGGTCTCGGTCGCGTCAGTAGTCTCCGTCCCCGTCACCGTCGCCACCTCCAGCCACGACCATCCCAACCACCAAGCAGCGAGCCCACCAGCCGAGCCCGCCTCTGGTCGAGGAAGACAGAGCGCAGAGAGTATATACGGCGGAGGATGAGGAAGTGTATCAGCCATGAGCACTCAAGCAATGTGGTGAGTCGAGTCGCCGTCGCCGTGAGTGAGCAACTGGCGCTGCCGCGGCTGCCGGTAGCCAGCCGCTGTCACTTTGCGCGCGCGCTTTGTCACTTTACCAAATCGGGCGGAGCACGACAGAAATCGCAGCTAACCATCAATGATGCCAGACTCTCGATGTCACCCACCATCACCCTACATCACCCATTCACAATCCCGTTCCTGATCCTCACGCCAACATAGACCACCTCCCTTTCTCTCGTACGCCGTTCCTCTCTCTCTCTCTATCTATCTATATATCTCCCCCCTCTCTTTCTCTCCTGTCCCCCATCTTTGCTACACCCCACACCCCACACACGTTCGATTTTTTTTCCCCGGAATAGCTGCTTCCGTGTGGGTTCGAAGGTGCCACCATCACCACCTCTGCCGCCACCTCTGCGCAGTTCCACACACACACCACGCCCCCCCCCCCCCCCCCCCCCCGCGCCCACCACCCGTAACCCATTGACCTTGGGCGTACTCTATTCTTGGCGTGTCATGTCTGCCTCTCTCACTCCACGCTCGCGGACCATGGTGGGCCAAGTTCGGTTCTGTCGCCTCCTCCACCTTTCCGCAGCCCTCATCATCGTCATCACACTGGTCGCGCTCCTCGCTCAACGCGCGGACGCCGCGCTTGACATGACAGCCTTTCCGGCGTACTACAACACCTTTACTGCGTCTGGCATTTCGCTTCCTGCGGGTAACTTTACCATCGAGTTCTGGTACAAAGCGTACGACAAGGGCGCGGCGCAGCATCTCGTCTCGTACTGTCGCTCCAACAACAACAACATGTTGTTGTGGGGGATCACAGGCTTCAATCGGTGCATTTTCGCCATGGGCGGGTTGTCGTTTACTCCATACGCATGTCCTGCCGACGGCTCCTGGCACCATGTGGCCATAGTCTTCCGCGCTACACCATTGCCGAAAGCGGAGATGTGGATCGATACTGTGGCTGTGGCCGGCCCAGGGGATGTGCCATCGTTCTCGGCAGACTCGCTCAAGTTTGTCTTTGGTAACGATCAGGACCTCTCGACGTGTGTGACCAATAACCAGAACCAGGCCGCATCTGCTGTCATGGACGAGTACCGCGTTTGGTCGGTCGCCATGAATGCCACCGCCATCGCCGCCGCCGCCGCCGGGCCCACGCCTGCGCCGACGCCCAATCTCGTCACCTACTACGCGTTTGAGCCCGGTGACATCTCCGGCTCAACGCTCACGCCCACTGCCGGCCTGGGTCCTTCCATGGGCGCTGGCTCGGTGCCGCCAGTCCAGGCCCCGGTGAGCCCGTTTGTCACCGCCGCCCCGGCTCCTGCGCAGAGCCACCTCCCACCGGTCCTCGCACCCTCGGTGGTGCCGACCACAGGAGCTGGAAACATCCACGGGTGCTCGCTTAGGGATCTTGACGGTGACGGCCGAATCGACGTCATGTATGCGTTGTGGGGCATGACCGCGGCTACTTCGGTGTCGTATGTGCTCGGCGACGGGAACATGGCGTTCTCGCCTCCCGTAGCTGTCTCGTCCGCCGACCGCATCACCTCGCTTGCGCTCGCCGACCTGACCGGTGACGGCGTGCTCGATCTTCTCGTCGCTAATGATGGCGACGGCCACGCCAACGTTTACATCGGCACAAGCTCACCGGGGAACATGTCCTTTGCGCTCGCGCCGTACTTTCTCGGCACTGGCTCGGCCACGGGCACCTCGGTCTCGATCATTGCCACTGTGCCAGATCTTGACGCTGATGCCGTTGCTGACGCTATCTACATCAGCTCCGACCTGCAGACCATTGGCTGGGTCTCGTTTGCCTCGGGCTCGCCTACTCCTACCAGCATTGTCACGGTTTCTTCGACGGAGAGCCTCTACTTTGGTTCGTCCAGCGCCAACTACGCCACCGACCGACAGGTCATGCTCGATCTCAACAATGACGGCCTCCTAGACCTGCTCTACATCCACTCGAGCAGTAACTGGTGGCGGCTTTCTGCAGTGCTGCGGTTGGCCGGCCCTGGCGTCAACTTTGATACCGGTTCTCCCCTTGTGATTGTTCCTGGTGCTGTCCGATTCTGGCTTGGAGATCTCGACGGTGATGGCGCTACTGACATTTTTACCATCTTTCAGCAAATATGGGACATTTGGACGGTCAACGGCGACTCGACGGTCAGCTATTTCACCTCGATCGACCAGGGTAGCACTGACGCCGTTGAGAACATCGCCATTCTCGACGTGGACGGCAACGGTCTTTTGGACGTCGCGTTTGGAACTCGCGTCTTAGGCTCGGCACTCCGTCTTGCCCTCCAAGTCACGCCCCTCGCTTTTGCTCCCGGCGACGTCTACGGCACCATGTTTGCTGCCCAAACCAAGTGCCTGGTCTCTGGCGTCTTTCAGGACGATGGCGTGCCACAGCTCCTGTTCGGCGCCGCAAACACCGGTGGGTTGCCTGCCATCGGCGAGATGGCGATGTGGCGGACCGGTCCTGTCCCGCAGCACGTGGCTGCGCCAGTAATCGCTTCGACCGCCTCGAGCTGGTGCGCTTCGGGCACGCTACCAGAGACTCTGGTGGCGGACCTCACCCACGACTCACACCTCGACGTCTTGCTAGTTTGCCACGCCGACGCCTCAACGATCCTTGTCGCGGCCAACGGTTTTGGCGCGTTCCTCCCGGCACTTGTCCGCACGTCACCGCCGTCGGCCGCTGCACTCGCAGCCGCAGGAATCGCCGACGTCAATGCAGACGGCTTTCTCGACGTGATCACCGCATCAGTCGACGGCACTATTGCCGTCTCGCCCCACGTCGACGTACTTGGCGGCTCCCCGCTCCCTGCACCGCACACGGTCGACGTCAGCGGTCTCGCCGGTAGTCTCGTGGCAATGGTGCTAGTTGACGCCAATGGCGACGGCGACGTTGACGTCATTGTCGGGGGGTCATCAGGGCTTGTACTTGTTCCGTCGGCTGGTGACGCGCCGGCAGGCCCACTCCTTCCCCCACTTGTGCTCTCTCTGAGCACGGTCGGCGTTCGCTTGCTTGTCGTCGGCGACTTGCGCGGAGTCGGTGTCTCAGTTGACCTCGTGTGGATCGACAGCACGGCCAACACGCTCCGTGTGGCGACACTGGACCCTGCACCGGCTTCGGCAGACGCGGTGTACCTCGCGTCGCCTGCCATCCCATTGCCGAGCGATGCAGCTGCCATTGCGTGTGGCGCACTGGACAGCAACGCTATCGACGACATTGTGATTGCAGTCACATCTGGCGATATTGTGGCTGTCTATGATGGTGGCACCGGGCCAACGTCCACTCTCTTCGCGGGCTGGGGAGACGTTGTTGACCTCACCGTTGTTAGCACAGCATCTGGCAGCGGCCACGTCCTGCTCGCGTCCGCGAACTCCACTGCGTGGCTCACGGCGTGGCCGACCTACCTCCGCTACCCAGTGCCTGCTGTGGCAGGAGCTGGCCCATCTGCTCTCCTAGACGACTTTGATGCCGATGGTCTTCCGGACCTTGTCCGGGTCGGCAACGCGTCGTTGGTGATGGTGCGTGGCCAGAGCTCACTGTCGTTCCGCGACCTCGCGACCTCGCGCCTCCCGCCCGAGTGTGGTGGAGTAGCCGGCTCGTGGGCGTGTACCACTGCCCGCATGGCGCGCCTTTCATCTGGAAGCGTACTCCATCTGGCACCGGTCCCCCCTGGCGGCTCGCGGTGTGCCCGTGGCCGGCAAGGACCTGGCTACCCTCTGTTCGCACGAGCGATTACTCTTCGCGACGGGCGGATCGAGTGCACTAGTGGCGGCGTGCTTGGGAAGTTAGTCAATTCTGCAATTGTGACGATCGACTCGGTGATCATGAGCTCGGGCGCGAGACATGCACCGGTCTTAGAGGCAAGTGATGCTGGTGCTGCGTTGGTTGTTGGCAACGGCGCCAGTCTGTACCTGAGTCACTCGCGGATGACTGGCTTTGCCGCACGTGACAGCACGTCCGTGAGCAAGTCAACCTCAGCACTTCAAGGTGGCGCAGTGCATGCTCTGGGCGGATTAATCGTGTCGAACACAACGTTTGAAGAGTGCGAGGCGGCGCAGCTCGGCGGCGCCGTTGCCGTTGTGGGATCCGCGGCTTGGGCCACGTTTACGGACACTACTTTTGCACAAAACGCCGTGACAAGCGCCGCGGGCCCGGGTACGTCTGGCGGTGGCGCTATCGGTGCCTCGCAGGCAGGACTCTCATGCACTCGATGCGTGTTTGATAGCAACGTGGCAACCGGGCTCGCGTCGGGCGGTGGCGCGGTGGCTTTACGCGGGACCACCACGTCGGCCTCGTTTTCTGACTCGACATTCGTCGGCAACTCGGCGCCTGCGGGCTACGGCGGCGCCGTGCTGACCGAGTTTGACGGCGTTGCACTAACGATCACATTCCACATGTGCGTCTTCAACGACTCGTCGGCTCTGATGGGGGAACCGTCGCTGCCGTCAAGAGCGGCGCGCTCGCTGTCACGTTTGGCGGGGCCACGTTGCCGGATGTACCGCCGCTCAGCACTACATCGCCGCTGACAACAACGTCGTCCCAGGCCCACTTCTCGATGTCAGTCATCGGTTCAAGCTCGGCGCGCTATGGCGGCGTAGCTCTGTCATGCGGGGCGATCGTTGACATGATGGGTGCCGACATGACGTCGGCTACCGTCTCTTACTCGGGTGCCGGCGGCATCTGGTTCCAATGCCTCCCGCTGACGGCGACAGCCGCGGTGAACATGGGCCCATCGCCGGGCGGAGGAACACTTGCGACGGCGTCGCCAAGCTACGGCCCGATATTTGCGTCACCAGCAACGATGCTGTCATGGGATCGTGCTGGCGCTCGGCTCGAGGCGCCTTGGGGTGCCGCTCGGCCTTGCAGCCGGCATGTTTTCGACGCTCGACGCGTTTGGCCAGCCTGTGGCGGACGCGGCCGCATACGTCGAGCTGGTCGTCGGACTGCCAGCCAGCCTCACGGCCACACAAGCGAGTTGGGACGCTGAGGTGGGAGGCTACTCGTTGCGACGCGTTGCGCTTGAGATCCAAGGCGGCTACTGGTCCGAGGTCGGGAAGCCGGTGACAGTCATGGCACAGCTTTCGTCGGGCGCGTCACTTTCGGTGCCCGTCGTGGTTACTGCCTGCCCGATTGGTTACGGCGCAACAACTGAGGATGAGGAGCTGCCGCTCTCGTGCGTTCTTTGTCCCACCGGGACCGAGTCGACCGAAGTCTCGCTTGCGCCATGCCGCATTGTGCCAACTTGTACTGGAACCGGGTTTCCGATCGATGGCGAGTGCGTGTCGTGCCCGGCCAACACGGTGCGGCTCGCGGGGCCGAACGTCACGGCAGGCACTACACCGCCTTGTGTGTGCGCAACAGGATTTTGGAACGTAGACAACGCAGCAGACGTGGCGTGCGAAGAGTGCCCCAATGGCGCGCAGTGTCCGGGTGGATCTGGCTCGGCTGCAGCGCCGTACGCTAGGCCGGGATTCTTCCGCATCGCCACAGGCAGCTACGCTGAGTGCACGGTGCCCAATGCGTGCGTCGGACATTCGGTGTGCGCGCCCGAGTACAGACCTGGTTCGCTTCTCTGCAAGGATTGCGGCGAGAATGCGTATCGGCAACAGGATGGGACGTGCCGAACATGCCCCAACGCGGCGTCGTCGCTGCTCGCACTTCTCATCGGTGTTGTGGTTCTCGCGGCTATTGTTGCGGTCGTGCTCTCGATGCTGGCCGTGAGCCTGTTCCAGAAGCGGCAGCAAGACATGGCTGCAAGTAGCGGGGCACGAGTCCCGCACACGCTCTCGCTCACAGTCATTTTTTTGCAGGTGCTCGGCATTCTCGCCCGTGCGCCGTTTAACTGGCCGGAGCCGCCGGTGAAGCAGATTCTGGAGGCCGCCAACGTGGCTAACGTAGACCTCACGTTCTTTGCGGTCGACTGCTCGCTGCCATCGTTTGTGATCCGCTACTTGATCAACATGCTCCTACCGTTTGCGTTTGGCGCGTTCTTTGTCATCTTTGTCGTGGCGGTCAAGTATGTGCCAGGCCTCGGGTGCTGCTGCATGCGCGGCGTGGATCGCAGTCGCATACAGATCAAGGACATCCTGTTGTGGGCTGTCTTTACCTTTGGCCCGCTGGTATACATCCCGCTCTCGCGGTCGACACTTGTCTTTTTCGACTGCACCCTCTATCCGGATGGCAAGTGGTACCTTGATGCAGAGCCGAGCGAGGAGTGTTTCGCACCTACCTGGCTCGGAGTGCTCCCGATTGCGTTGTGCGGGCTAGTGGTGTATGTCATTGCGCTGCCTGCGCTCTTTACCATTATCTTGCACCGGTGGCGGCGCGAGCTCGACGCGCCGCTTGTGATCCTGCGCTACGGGTCACTGTACTCGGTCTTCCGAAAGCACTACTACTACGCTGGCGTGCCGCTCATGTTCAAGCGGCTGCTGATTGTGATATTCTCGGTTTTTGCATCCAACTTGCAGATCATCCTGTTCTCGGGCCTGTTGGCGGTGTTTGTGACCTCAATGCTGGTGCTCACTAAGCACTCGCCGTACCTGTACCATCCGCTCAATGTTATTGAGATCAAGCTTGACTTGAGCATTGTTGCATTGCTCGTCGGCGGACTGCTGTTCTGGATGAACGAGTTCCCCAACACGGCAACGTATGTGGTCTTTGCAGTCCTGGCCGTGCTGGTCATTGCCTTTGCAGTCATCACTCTTCTCCTGGGCCTCTTCCGCGAGCTGATGTACTTCTCGTCGAGGATCAGTCGCGTTTCCGGGGCGGAGGCACAAAACACCACGATCCGGGACCAAGTCTTCATTGACATCGCCAAGAAGCACCTCCCGGATCTGAGCCCTGGCGTGCGGAACGCCCTTGACGAGCTGGCAGCCCAGGCGTCGAAGCCTGTTGCGACGCCCAGCGGTGACCCAAGTGGTGACATCGAGATGTATGCGACGCCGGCAGTGGAGAGAGGCGGCTCTGTCAGTGCTGGCGGCTCTGGCAGCTGTGGTACCTCCAGCATCAGCGACAGCGGCTCTTACGTAGACAGCCCCACGTCTAGCTCCTACGAACGGAGCATCTCGGTCCGATCTGCGCTAGTGACCCGGGCTGGGAACCGGAGCGGCGACAAGAGCACGGCGAGCGGTAGCTTGGCAGTGTCACAGAGCGGTATGGCAGCGAGCCAGACGCTGCACTCGCGGCTGGCGTCACTCGGCGGGCGGCGAGCATCGTCGAGCACGCGGCAAACGTCGGCGTCGTATCGACGCGAATCCGGCAGTCTGAGATAAATGCTTCAATTGGGACATAGGCAGCGCCACCTTGGCTCACCACTTTGTTGTCGCAGTCGGGGTGCGTGAGCGAGCCGGTGTTCGCGGCGCTTTGCGCGAGCGCGAGCGGGCGCGGACAGGGGACTTGGCGGGAGAGCTGAGGGCCGAGGCCGTGAGCGACTTGATGCGTGACCGGGTGGTGGCAAGCAGCGCTTTGAGGGAGTGCTCAAGCTCTTCGGTCTGGCGCTCCTTCTCGGTCGGAGCGATCTTAAAGCCGGACGAGAGAAAGTGGCCGGCCTGGCCCGAGGAGAGCGCGTCCTCGACTTGCTGGACAAAGCTCTGAAGTGAGTAGCTGGGAGAGCCATTGAGCTCTGTGGAGGCGTAGACGAGGCGGCCGGCGTAGAACATGAGATAGGTTGGCGAGATGCGAACCGCGTACCGATGCTCCAGCATCGCACGGAGGCGCGGCTCGGCAAGGTCTGCTGTCGCCAAGCTCCAAGCCAGATTGCGTGCACCACCAGCGGCGCGGACGGCGTCGAGGTAGTAGGCTTCGACGTCTGCGACAATGTTGCCGGCCAGGTTCGCGCTCGGGCCGGACCGGGCAGCGACGACAACGACGACAAGAGTTGACGCCGAGACCTTGCGTATGTAGGCGTCAAAGTTGCGCTCGCGGAGGGCGACGGCCCGTTTGCGGATCGGCTGCTGGGCGAGGAGGGCAGCTGGTGAGGAGCGGAGCCGGGCTGGCGAGGACGGCGTCGGGCGCGATGGAGTGCGGCCTGGTGGCGAGGACCGGCGCGAGATGCGCGAGCTGGCCGCTGAGGTGCGGAGCGGTGAGAGTGACGGCGACGGGAGCATCGAGTCAAATGCGGCGGCGAGCTTGGCGATGGGCGACTCTGCGCCGCGGGCTCTACTCTGCCTCAGTGGCGAGCGTGTGCGGGCGCGCGACGGGGTCGAGGCAATGGCAGGAAGTGGACTGGCGGTGCGGGCGACGCGGCGCTTGGGTGCGGCCAGCTTGTCGAGCGGAGTGGCTGGAATGTTGAACTCGAGCTTGCCCGACGGCGAGCGTCCGGTGGCACGGTCGAGATACGAGCCGGCGAGGGTTGGGCGGCCGGTTCCGGCGTTAAAGTCGAGTGAGACGGCCTCAGCGCGAAAGGTAAGCACGTAAAACTGCGACGAGACGAGAGCTAGCGAGACGTGCGCATTGAGCTGCATCTCGAGCGGGTCGTCGACCTCGCCCCATTCCAGCCCGTTGATCAGCGAGCCGTCGCGGCCGTAGAGAGTGACGGTACCCGGAGTGAGGATGGCGCGGACAACGTTGTGCCCGTCGGGGTCACCCGCCACATGACCGAGCCCTGCCCGCGCTCGCCAAAGGTGGCCAGCGCGTGGCCACCAGACGGATGCATGTCGGCATACACAAATGTTGTCCGCTTTCCGCTCCGCCCCAGCGTGACGCTCATGGCCATGTTACCGGACGGGTAGTAGACAAAGCCCGAGCCGTCGGGGAGAAAGCGCGCAGCCTTGCGCGATGCGTCATAGTCGATCTCGACCGGCGCACGGAGGTTGTCGTTGGAAAAGCCCCTCGCGCGGCTGCGCTCCAGCACACCGTGCGTATCAGGCGCGGAGCCGTTTTTGGTCCGCTTCACGCCCGACGACGGGCTACCAGCAGCAAAGGCATCGGATTCTGGCGAGAACGGCGCGTTCCGAGGCGAGAGACCTTGATCGAGATGGTCGGGCGCCATTGTCTCTCCATCACCTCTTTCTAGGGAGAACGACAAGGTCTTTGCCACCTCTTTCCTCGGCTCGTTGACCTTGTCTTTGGCCTTGATGGATGTAGTCGAGCCATCCCTCCTAACAGCACCATGTCCATGACCACGAGTCACAGCAGCCGCCACCACCGATGCTCGTCGACCACCACCCGCATCTGCAGCCATGGGAGTACTTGGTCGACTCGTCGAGCCACCATCGCCATCACCAGCACTCCTGCCCTTGCTCTTATCCTTGCTCTTCCGCTTGCTCTTCTTCCCCTTGCCCTTGCTCTTTCCCCCATCACCACCACCAGTGCAAGGAATTGACCGACGCTGCTGCAGTGTGACGTTTCTGGTGGTACAACGGCACCACCACCACCACCACCACCGGTGGTGCTCTTGCTCTTCTTCTTCCGCTTCTTCTTCCCCTTGCCCATGACTGTTCGAAGGGGAATATGGCTGGTGAGAGGAGTGAGGCTTGTGCTCTGGGGGCTGTGGCGGTGGCTGGGTGGGTGGGTGGCTGGAGGTATTTGGTGAGTTGGTGCTGTTGATCGGCAGAGGGCAACGGTCGGTCGGTTGGTTGGTTGGTCGGCCAACTTGGTCGGCCAACTTGGTCGGCCACTCGGTCGGCCACTCGGCCGATGGGTCGAACAATCGGTCGGCCACTCGGTCGGCCACTCGGTCGGCCACTCGGTCGGCCACTCGGTCGGCCAACTTGGTCGGCCACTCGGTCGAACACTCGGCCAATGGGTCGAACAATGGGTCGGCCACTCGGTCGGCCACTCGGTCGGCCAACTTGGTCGGCCACTCGGTCGAACAATCGGTCGGCCACTCGGTCGAACACTCGGTCGGCCACTCGGCCGATGGAACGGCCACTCGGTCCATGGGTGGGTCAATCCCGTGAAAGTGTGCCATCCACACACATGCAAGGAATTGACCGACGCTGCTGCAGTGTGACGTTTCTGGTGGTACAACGGCACCGACGGTTGCCTTCCATACACACACACACACATACATATACACACGCACGTGCACCTGTCTACAACTCTCGATGGACGGCTACTCCTCGGGTGCGCTTGTTGCGGCAGCAAAGGGTGGCGACTTGCCCAGTGTCCAGTCGTATGTCGTGGCAGGCGCGCCGCTGCAAGTTCTCCACGATTTGGGTGCAGAGGCGGCAGCGGGAGCTGCGGCCGGCGATGACGACTCCAACTCGGTACTCAAGATGGTGCAGATGATGGAGGAAAGCTACGCCACTCGCGATACTCGGCCCACACCGACAGAGTTTGGCAAGGATAGGACGGCGGCCTTACTTGCCGCCGCGGGTTCGGGTCATGATCATGTGGTGGCCTGGTTGATCGACAGTGCAGGGGCAGGTGTGAACGATGCAGCTGGCAATGGCACGACTGCGCTCGTGCACGCCGCCAGTGCTGGTCATCTAGACGTCGTCAAGTGGCTTGTCGACTCGATGGGTGCGCAAGTCGACAAGGCGTGTTTCGATGGGACGACCGCGGTGGTTGCCGCCTCTGCCGCCGGCCACCTCGACATCGTCGAATGGCTCGTCGAGTCAGCCGACGCCAGTGTAGGCGACGTTCCACGCGGTGACAAGTGCGCACTGTCTTCAGCTGTCAATCATGGGCACACCGACATTGTCCGCTACTTGGTCGAGACGTCAGGAATCGACCTCTCGCATGAGTCCAAGGGCATCGCACACATGGTGCGCGCGGCGTCACGTGGCTATGTCGACACCGTCAGGCTCCTTGCGGGCGTTGTCGGTCTCGCCGACACAGGCAATACAGATCCACTGTTTGCTGCAGTCAGAGCTGGCTGCGTTGCCGTTGTGCAGTGTCTGGTACAAGAGTTTGGTCTCGACGTTAACGCTGTCAAGGGGCGGCGTCGTGAGATGGCTCTTGCCATCGCTGCCGGACGAGGTGATCTTGTCATGGTTACCTGGCTGGTCAACAAGGGCAGTGCCGACTTGTCATCGCCTGCGCCCATCCTCTGTGCGGCGGCTTCCGGCCATCTGAACGTTGTGCAGTGGTTCATCACCGAGAAGGGCGTCGACGTAGACATCCGTGGGCCAGACGGCCACACGCCACTCCTCTCAGCCGTGACGAAAGACAGGGTCAACGTCGCGCAGTGGCTTGTCGCCAACGGAGCAAGCGTGAATGTTTGTACCAGTACCAGTGCCCATCGGGGCGGCGGGACAGCACTGCACTTGGCCATCAAGAAGCTCCGTGGTGATGATGCCTTGGTCCGTTGGCTTGTATCGGAAAGCCACGCCGATCCGAACATCACTGACGTGGCAGGCGTCACACCACTGCTCCTTGCCATCCGCGAGCACAAGTCGTTTGATTTCATCAACTGGCTGGTCTGTGAAGGGCGTGCGGATGTCAACAAGGCCGATGCAAAGGGGGACGTTCCGTTGCTGGCCGCTCTTCGCAGCAACAAGATCGACGTTGTCCGCTTGCTTGTCGACCGCGGTTCGGCAGACATTAACGCCGTCAACAACCGCGGCGTCTCGCCACTCATTCTGGCCGCACGCCAAGACAAGCACAAGGTTGCTGACATGCTGTTGGATCTCGGGGCCGACGCGACTGCAATCGCCGTCGACGGGCAGGGCCCGCTGCATTTCGCTGCTGCCAAAGGGCGCCTCGTTTGGTCCGTCGTCTGTTGGACAGTGGCGTACATGTAGACAGTGCTAACGGATGGTCAGTATCACCGCTGCATCTGGCAGCCGAGGTCGGCCACATGAAGGTCGTGCGCGAGCTTGTTGGGCGCGGGGCAGACTTGCACAAGCCGCGAAGCAACGGGTTTTCCCCGATATTCGACGCTGTCGCTGCCGGCCACATTGCCATTGCCACTTGGATGGTGTGCGAGTCGCTGGCGCGGGGCGGAACGGCACTCTCTCGGGAAACCGTCTCGTACGTCGTCGATCGCGGCATCGACTTGCTTGCTCCGGATGAAGATGGACGCCGTGCGCCTGCACTTGCCTGGCGCGCCGACTCTGCCGCGCTTGCCACTCCGCTGGTCAACTCCATTGATTTCCCGGCCCAAGGTCGCGTGGCAGTCGATCCCTCCCGGAACGACTCGATCAACCGCGCCACGGCGGTTCTCGTGACATGCATTCACGCCGCACTCGCTTCCTCCAATGCTGAGCCGCTCACACCGACTCGCATAACCGAGCTTGTCAAATGCGGCGCTCAGCTCGACGACATCATCGATGGTCGCGATTACAGCTTTTTCGGTATCGCTGTCATCGACGTCTTGGCTACGCACTTACAACGCGTTGATCTCCCTCGCTCTCCTGTTGCTGCTCTGTTTGGACCAGACCTGCTCACAGTGGATGTTTTGCCTCCGCCGCGGCTCGGCCATGAGAGCATAGACTTATCGCTGCCTGACTCTGCGATAATCTCGAATGGTGACATCTCCATAGATGAGACGACACTGCTTGGCGCGTCGCTGTTTGGCCGCGTCCATCCAGGCATCTTCCACGGCACCCAAGTAGCCGTTAAGGCGCTGCCCGGCTTTATCACCGATGACGACATTGCTGACGTGTTCAAAGCCGAGGTGACGGTGTTAGGGAAGTTGCGTCATCCCAACATCCTGCTTTTTATCGCCACCTGTCTTGACCTGACCCGGCCGCTGATCGTGACAGAGTACATGGAGCGTGGCACGCTGACCGAGCTTCTCGCCGACGATCAGGTCTCGCTCTCGATGTCAACCAAGATCTCACTGGCGGCCGATGTCGCCCGGGGCATGGCGTACCTGCACGGTATCTGCCCGCCGATTGTCCACCGCGACCTCAAATCGCCGAATGTGCTCGTGTCCGGCACTGGCGAGCGCCTCCTAGCCAAAGTCTCGGACTTTGGCTTTTCGCGGTCGTTGTCGTCGGCTTCGGTCATGGCAACAACGACCGGCTCTCCCCGATGGATGGCGCCCGAGGTCATCCTGAGTGCCACTGCGGAGGGCTACTCGCACAAGGTTGATGTCTACTCATTTGGCATTGTGCTGTGGGAGATTCTGGCCAGGCAGCTCCCGTACCCCGAGACGCCGGTAGGCGCCAACGAGTTGGCTGTTGCCGTGGCCGCCGCCACGCAAGGCAAGCGCCCGTCGCTTGACGCTATTGATGCACCATTGGCAATCGTGGATCTTGTCACACGCTGCTGGGATGTAGATCCGGCAGCGCGCCCCGAGTTTAGCGACATCCTGACGGTTCTTGCGGTCACTCTCGACGCACTTCCGCCCATCAAGCGATGGGATGTGTTCATCTGCCACGGCGGCGGCGACAAGGGCGCAGCTCGCGAACTCTACGACAACCTGATTGCTCGCGAGCTGCGGGTTTTTCTCGACGTGCACTCGCTAGACGGCGAGCGCTGTGAGTGCCCGGACGATCTGGCAGCTCAGGTCCGGGCCTCGCGTGTCGTCGTCGTTCTTGTCTCCAAGTTCATGCTCGTCTCACGTTGGGCCGTTGCAGAAGCCAGAGCTGCGCTTGAAGCCGCCGATTCCGGGCACGTGGTCATTTTCCCGGCCTTTATCGGCCAGGATGTCACCCTCGAGACACTCGCCCATTATGGCGAGGTGAAGACAGACGATCCGCACCATCCGCTCCTCTCGCTCATGGACACCTTTTTCCACGCACCGCACCAGCAGACCTTGCACGACACATGGCGACACTCTGACCTCGATGCGGAAAAGAAGGCCCATCACGTTGCTGTCGCCTACGATCTCAAACGGTATGGCCTGGCCACCTACGACTATCAGACCATCTCACCGACGCGCGCCCTCGTTAATATCGCCGACCGAGTCTTCAACCTTGCCGACTCACCGCAGGCCTCCTCATCATGATACCCCACACAAGCCCATCACCTTCTCTTCCACGCTTATGATTCACCCATCATCAAATCAAACATGCCGTGAGTCCTGACCGGGAAGCCGACGCGACAGCCTCAACCCGACGCGGCAGTCTGCCGACTCGCGGACCGACGGATCGACGGCGGCGGGCGCGGATCCCACCCGACTCGACGGCCTCCGCCCCGCCCCGCCCCTGGCCACCCCACAGCCACCCACCCCATGCTTCGAATCCTTCGAGCGAGTGGACTAAGCTCCAGCTTTACACCTTTCCGGGCGCTGTTGTCGTCGTCGAGCTCTCCGGACCCTCAACGGGGACTGTCTGTGGTGTTCTTTGGTACTGATGACTTCTCACTTCCAGTTCTCAATGCTCTGGTGGAGGCCCGCGACTGCGATGGGAGTGTGGCATCGATCGAGGTGGTGGTGCCCAAGCTGAAGGATCCTTCCGCCAAGTGTACCATTGAATCTGTTGCTCGATCGGCTGGTCTTCGAGTCCATGTCCCCAATCGGAGGACTACCCTCAAGTACTGGGGCCTGCCCGGTGCCCCGCCTCCGGGCGGCTCGGACGGTGATGGCGACGATGATGGCGAGCCTATGGAGATCGGTCCGCGATACGATGTTGGCGTTGTGGCTTCGTTTGGCTATCTCATTCGCCCGCACATTGCCTCGGCCTTTCGGCTTGGCATCATCAATGTCCACCCGTCAGACTTGCCGCGCCACCGCGGCCCGGCCCCTCTTCATCACACCATTCTCGCTGGCGATACCACGACGGCTGTCTGTCTCATCGACGTCGATCCGACTGCGTTTGATGTTGGCGCTCTGCTCGCCCGTTCGCCCCTTGATCTCACTACCCTCCCGGACACTCCGTTCCCACCACCGCTTCCGGTCCTCTCGTCGACGCTGGCCGGTACTGGCGGCAAGCTCGTTCGCTCGGCGCTGCGGTCATGGAACGCGACACTCGACGCGGCTGTCGACCAAGATCGGCTGGGTGCCGAGCCGAGCCACGCACCCAAGGTGAGCAAGGACGACGCAATTGTGCCGTGGGCCACCGCACCGGCCGCGCACGTCCTCCGCCTCCACCGCGCCTTTGCCGGCTCGTTTGACGCCCAAGCGTTTGTGACGCTACCGGCGCGCCGCAAGCCGGACGGCGCCCGCAAGCGGGTCAAACTGCTCGAGCTTGATGTAGTCGCTGCCGGCGATCCAGCAGCTGGAGACGCCGCTCAGTTGGCACCGGGCACGATCGCCTTCGACAAGCCGCGTAAGAGGCTATTGGTCGGCACTGCTGACGCCGTGGGCGTCGCCGTCGGCTCGCTGCAGGTTGAGGGCAAGGCCCCGTGCTCGGCCGTCGACTTTGCCAACGCCTATCTCCGCCGGCTGCTAGGCTCCGGCTTTGTGGTTTAGTGGCACTCTTCAGAGTAGCTACCGTCGGTAGACGAAGACTGAAAGTCAGATTCGTCCGAGTCGGCGTCAGACGAGACCACAGAGAGTGTCCGGGGAGAGGGGGACGCTGAGATTGTGCCACCTGGCTCAACCGAGATACAGACTGAGACCGAAGACTGAGAGCCGCCACCGATGCGGAGGTCGGGCACGCCCGAGACATCATGGCGCGGAGTGATTGAGACCGAGATCGGCGACGTCGGGGTGGTTGGCGTCGACGGCACGCCGGGCCGGCGCAGGAGTTCGATGGGAAGTGCGGAGCGGACCTCGTCAAACGCGCGCTGTAGAGTGGCGGGCGTGCATGGCTTGGTAAGAAAGCCATCGCATCCGGCCTCGTAGCATGCCGCGCGGTCCTCCTCGGTGACATTGCCGGTAAGCGCGTAAATTGGGGTGTACGGGCGCGACGGGTCAGCCGCGAGCGCCTCCTTCTCCCACGCCCGGAACTTGGCGGTCACTTCGGTCCCGCGCATGACCGGCATGGAAATGTCCATAAATACCAGGTCATATGTCGGAGTCTCTGTGGTGAGCAGCATGTCATGGGCCTCGCCACCGTCGCACGCCACTGTCACTGTGTGGCCCATCTTCTCCAGCAGCCGCTTGCCGACCTTGCGGTTGATGACGTTGTCTTCCACAAACAGAACGTGCATCGGCCCATCGCGGTTGCGCGGGCGGGCCGATCTTGTCGACGGGCGGGAGGCTGCCGCGGCGTCGGCGCTGCTGCTGGCGGGCGCAGAGCCGGCCAGCTCGCTCGAGGTCCGAGATGTCTTCTTTGGCGAGACGGCCTCGGGAACCGTCTGCAGCGGTGTGGACGTCGCAAGCGGGCGCGACGGCTCTGATTCGCCCGAGAGCAGCTGCGAAATCGATTTGCGCCGCGCCCGCGGGTTGTTGGTCGTCCGCACTCGCAGCTTGGCCGGCTTGGTCGGCGACGATATGATGGATGCTACAGGTGCGGGAATGGCGAGGTTGGCGACGTGGTCATGCGAAGACGGCTGAGAGAGGATGGCGATGGGCGGAAAGTTGCGCCCGGGGCTCTTGCTTCGCGGCGAGAGGTGCTCCACACCCTCGGTGTGTGCAGAGAGCTGGAGCGGGCAGACGATGGAGAACGAGGCTGTCGTGCCGACGTCCGGCTCCGAGGTGATGTGCAGTTGCGAGCCCATGCCTGCAAGCGAGTGGACGACGTTGTAGAGGCCGATGCCCGAGCCCCCGCCCTCCTCAATTGGCTTGTGGGCGTAGAGCGTGCCGATGCGGGCCAGCTCAGCCGGCGACATGCCACAGCCAGTGTCGCGGACAACGAAATGAATGGTGGCCGAGAGCGTGCCCGAGATCTCGCCTTGGTCGGCCGGGCTTGCTGTCATGAAGCGGACCTCCAGCTCGACCGTGCCTTCTTCGGTAAACTTGATGGCGTTAGTGAGGAGGTTCATGACCGCCCGTAACAGCCGTGGCGCGTCGCAAACGACGGGCGGGATGAACTCGGGCAGTGTGACGTTGAGCACTACGTTGGCCTTGTGTGAGGTCGAGTAGCGGAGGACCGAGATGAGAGCCTCGAGGCGCGAAAGGAGCGCACACGGCGCGAGTTCCAGGTCGATGCCGCCGTGCTTGATGGCCTCGACGTCGAGGACGTTGGAGATGATCATTTCAACCATCTGCGCCGACGCTGAGATGATGTCGACGAGCTCGAGCGAGTCGGCGATGTCGAGCCGGAACGAGTCATTAGAATCGCCACCAGCCGGGCCCTTGGAGCCGAACGAGCGCGCCGAGCTTATTGAGTGGTTGCGCCGCAGCTCGCCGTCGGACGAGTGCGAGTTGAGCGAGTGCGAGGTGGTCGGACGACCCTTGGACGGTGACGTCGGTGGCGACACAGAGTCCGGCGGCACCAACGTGCCGGCGACCGACGACGGCCGGCGGCGCGGCTCGGGCGAGGTCGGCGAGGTCGAGTTAGGCCGGACGTCGGAACTGGTCATCGTGATGGGCGCCGAGTCGGCTGTCGGCGACGAGTCGGACGGCGAGCTGTCGCGGAACGAAGTGGCGCCGTCCCACGCATCGGTGGCGGGGGCGTACTCGAGCAGGTTTGAATGGAGGAGGAGGGCGGCAGAGGTGACGCCTTGTAGCGGGGTGCGGATGTCGTGGGAGGTGCACCGCAGGAACTCCTGCAGCGCCTGCCGCTCGATCTGGTCCGACTCGCGCTCCGAGGCGAGCTTAAAGTTGCGGACCGTCTCTACCAGGAGCTGTTTCTCCGGCGTGACGTCCTGGTAGGTGATGAGGTACTCATCATCGATGATGGCGACAACGTCCATGCGAAAGTAGCGGACCGGGCGCGACTCGCCACAGTCCATCGAGTCGTCGTCGACAATGCCGCCGTTCTCGGCAGAGGTGCGGACAGCAACCTCGCGGCCGTGAACAGACTCGCCGGCGAGCAGCAGCGGGGCAAGCGTCGAGAGAAAGTCGAGCGAGGCGCCGAGCTCCGAGAGCGCGGTTCCAGCCAGGGGCGCAAGGTCGATGTTCAGCGGGAGGTCGAGAAACTCGGCCATTCGCGAGTTGATGGTGAGACAGACCGTGGCGTCGAGGATAGCGACCTCGAGTATGCTCGCCGGGTCGAGCTCATGCGGCGGAGGGCGCGAGACAAGGAGCACGCCGAGATCGAGCGAGCCGACAAGCGAGGTCAGCCGCCGCGCGTTGGCGAGCGAGACCAGCGCAGACGTGTTGTCCACTTCGAGCACGCCCATAACGGCCGCAGACGTCGCGGTTTTGACAAGGAAAATAGTGGCGTCGATCATGACAAGTGCACCCGAGTTGGTGAACCGACGGTAGCGTGCGTGGCAGGTGAATCGCGAACCGGGCCTAGCACCCTCGGCCGCCGCCGCCGCGTACATCGTGTCTTTGAACTCGAGATCGTCTGGATGAACAGACTTCCACACGTCGGTCCCGACGAGCGAGTCCGACTCGAGGACGAGAGCAGCTTCGGGTGACGCCTGGGAAATGAGCTCGCCATCGGGAGTCTGCTGGATGACGAGCAGGTAGGAATTGGGCGGGAGGGACTCGAAGAGCATGGCGAAAAAGGTTGGCAGCACGTCCTCCGGTGGAATCTCGGGCGGCTGGCCGCGCGCAAACGTAGCCGCGAGCGGCGGAAGTATGGCTTGCGACGAGCGCGAGTCGGGTTCGGGCGGCACCCACTTGTCGATGCCAAGGGCTACAAACTCAGTGTTGCGGGGCGAATCGCTCGAGGTGACCGAGTTGGGCGAGTGTCCACTGGACTCGCCAGGCATCGCCATCACATCGATAGCCAGCTGACTCGCAGAGTCGGCGGTGCCGGCGGCGTCGACATCGCTGGCGCTTCCGCACTTGGAGCTGGTGCCCGAACCAGCACTACTCTTGCCCTTGGTTGTTGAGACTCCCGAGTCAAGCGAGCCCATCGAGGAGCTCGTTGACCGCGACGTCGACAATGGCTGCGACGGTCTACCGCCATCCAAGCTTGCTTCTTCCGAGGTATCCGGGAGGCTGGAGAGGCGGAAACGTTTGAAAGAAAGGTCGTGCTTGCTCGACGACGGCGAGGTCATGAATGACCGGGAGTGCGGCAGAAGGCTCGACTCGCGGAGCGACGATGTACGCGACCGTTGCTGCTTGGGACTGATGCATCCAGCCATGACGGCCTCGGACATGGATCGCTTTGGCGACGAGAAGCGGCTGTTAAAGCCGCGACGCTTGAGTGAGATGGAGACGCCGAGCGGTGACGCGGGGTTGGGTGGCTCGCGGTATGCACTCTGGTAGTCGAGTAAATCGGCCGATTCGCCGCCGAGCGAGCTGGCCGATTCGTCGGTGAGCAGCGACGGACTCGGGGCGAGCTTGCGAGCAGAGAGGACCGAGGTGTGTTGCCTGCGCATGAGGTGGCTCTTGATCGAGTGCTTGACTGGCGAGCGCATGGCAAAGTCGGTCATGGACGCACGAATGATTGAGGCCTCGAAGAGCGAGTCTGCTGAGGGCAATGACGACGAGCGCGGGCGCGGCAGACGAGTTGCCGACCGCAGGTTGTGCAGCTTGGAGGCAGTCGAGTTGAGCGACGTGATGGGAGGGAGAGGCGGAGGCTCAGCGCCGCCGACTTCCTCGCTGGTCAGGAGCCGCAGAACAGCTGTAGCTACCAGGACATTAGTCTCGTTGAGCCAACCCGACGAAGTCTCGCAGGCAACCCACTTGGAAAACCCGACAAGGATCCAAACGTGGGCCGGAGGAAAAGCGGTCGAGTCTGGTGAGGGCGTGACCGACAACGCGAGCGGTGACGAGTCGAGCGGGACTACCAACGAGGAGAGCGGGAACTGAGCAAGCTGCGCCGCTAGCAAAGGTGTCCCATAACCTGCAAACTCTAGAAACGGTTCATTGCCGTACTTGACCGTCCGCGTGTCTGTCATCAACCAATGTGAGTTCTTGTCGTGCACTTCTGCCACCACTGTTCCGTGCCAGCTCGAGCGGCCGCCTTGTGCGAGCAGCCATCGCTCGGACGGTGACGAAGGGACGAAGGGGGGGGGGGATGATATGGGGGAACATAGAGGGAGAGGCAGGGAGGGGAGGGAGGGGGAGGGGATGGTCTGTGGGTATGATAGCGTGTGTGGGCACATCCTGCTTGACAAGGGGGGGGGAGGGGAGGGGAGGGGAGGACAAGGGAGGGGAGGGGGCACATTGTTCGTACAAGTCCCGTTACGAACCGTGAATTATCAATGGAGTTTGACCAAGAGAGTACGATTGCGGGACAAAAGAACAGAGCAAAAGGGTGCTTAATGGCGGGCAGCGGGACGGGAGTGGGGAGCGGGGGGAAGGGGAAGGGGGGAAGGCAGGAGAGAGATAGAGATAGAGGGAGAGGAAGGAGGGAAGAGGAGGAACGGAATACGATGGGAAGAAGAGGGAGGGAGGTAAGGAAAGGGGACCAAGTGGAAGGGAGGGAGCCGTCCATTCGGTTTCATACGTACGGGCGTTGTGAATGAGGAGACGCAGCGACATGGGCCAAAACGTCCCCGGCCCGTGGCAGAGTGCGGTGCGGTGGAGCCGTGCGCCACCGGTGGAGTTTCAGCAAACAAACTATCGTGCCAAACCGTACCTTGTTGGATTGCAACCACGTCGAACAGCAGACTCACACTCACGCATACGCATGCATGATGTCATGCACATCCTATGATACCTTAGGTGAATACATGATGGGTACCCGGGGATGGGATGGTGTGAGAGCTAACAGAGGTGAGCGGGAGAGTGAATGTGCAGAACTATGAAAGTGATTCCAAGGACTTTGCAGGTGTAGGGTGCTGTGCAACGGGGCGTGACGTGGGCGTATAGAGCAGGGAGAAGGGGGTTTGATCGAGATCTCAGACATCTGATGCAATGATGAACGGTGAAGGAGATGCTCGAGGCTGACAGAGGCGGCGGGCGACTGAGACTGAGAGCACTACTTCTTGCGCTTGGCGGGCGGCTCCATGTCCGACTCAGCGTCGAGGGGAGCCGAGCGCGCGGCGGGACCGGAGATAGAACCGGGCGAGTTGGCAGCTGGTGGGTCGTCGCGCTTGCGCTTACGCGAGGAGGAAAAGACGGCGTTGGCGGCGGCTCGCAGATCGGCGTCCTTACTCTCGTATCCGTCCTCAATCGAGTCAAGAACGTCGTCGATGAGATCCATGAGGGAAGAGACGGCCGCCGGGTGCGAGTCGATGGCATGTTGGACACGATCAGCTACGACGGCCTCAAGCGAGGCAGCCTTTGCAGCCGACATGGCAGCCGACATATAATGCGACTTTTTCTTGAGCCGGCTCTCTGGCGCCAAGTACAGCACATATGATCTCTGCACAGCCGCCAGCGTCTCTTCACCCACAGCGGTCGTCGCCGCCAAGGCCTCATCGGTCACAGCCTTGACCACCTCTGCCCACTTGGGGTTAGAGACAACACCTCGAACAGCCTGCGCTTCGCTACTTGCCTCCTGTCCCTTGCCTACGTTCATTGTACCAAGGGAGGAGAGAGGGGGGGAGGGCGAGAGGTGGGTGGCAATGTGGCCCACCGGGCGGGTGTGGTCGGGCTGAATGGCATTGGCGAGGACGGCTGAGCGAGACAGACGGCGCAACGCGTCTCTCTGGCAGATCGAGTTGGGAAAGGGAGGATGAAGGTGCGGTCGTCTGTCCGTCGAATCTGTGCAGCATGCCGTGTTGTCAAGCGGAAGAAGAAGGTGTTTGTGGTGTGCAAGTCGAACCCGCGTCATAAGCAGAGGCAAGGCTTTGCTACCATGGCGTCCTCGTCTGCTTCTCCTGCTCGCTTCCCCTCGCGCCTCTCGGCAGACGCCTTTACCGGGAGCGTTCTGGCTGACTTGGAGGCCTCCATCCGCATGGCAAAGTCCAAGAGCCTCTCTGCATCGACTGTCTTTGCTGGACGTACTGCTGCGGCTGGTACAACTGCTGCACAGCCCTCGCTCAACATCTTCCGGAGGTGGCTCTGACTGGAGCCGGGGATGAACTCCCGCTCGTCGGCCTTTCCCGTCGTCCGCGTTCGGCGGGTGAACGCAAGCGAGCCAAACGCAAACGCAAACACACACACAAACACACACACACACGCACACACATACGCATCGGTATTCTAGATTTACATGTATAGAGGTGGTGAAGGGGATGGTGCGCGGCTACTCAAAGTCGGTGCCGGCAGGATGGATGTCGTCGGGCTCGCCGACCTCGGTCGAGCCCGAGCCCGAGTCGGAGTCGTTGTCCGAGTCGGCGTCCGAGTCGGAGAGCGAGAGGGCGAGGACTGGGCGGCCGTCATCGGCCACAATCACGCCGTCTGGTGTCTCGGAGGATTTGGGGGCAGTAGTCGCTGTCGTGGCGGCGGCGGCGGCGTCTGCTTCGGCCTTGGCAGCGGCGGCAGCATCAGCCTCGGCCTTGGCAGCGGCGGCAGCATCAGCCTCGGCCTTGGCGGCGGCAGCGGCGTCTGCTTCGGCCTTGGCAGCGGCGGCGTCTGCTTCGGCCTTGGCTGCGGCGGCGTCTGCTTCGGCCTTGGCAGCGGCGGCGTCTGCCTCGGCCTTGGCGGCGGCAGCAGCATCGGCCTCGGCCTTGGCGGCGGCAGCAGCATCGGCCTCGGCCTTGGCGGCGGCAGCAGCATCAGCCTCGGCCTTGGCAGCGGCAGCAGCATCGGCCTCGGCCTTGGCAGCGGCAGCAGCATCGGCCTCGGCCTTGGCGGTGGCAGCAGCGGAGGTGTCATTACCATCGCCACTTTCCTCATCCAACATGCTCTCGGCCTCTCTCCGCGCAGCGTCTACCTCGGTCGCGGCCGCCGTCTCGGGAGTAGGCGCTGCTGCCGCAGACGACGACGTTGCAACAGATGGCACGTCCTTCGATCCGCACTCTGCAGAACAAAAGACAAACTCGTCTCGGACCAGGTAAGCATCGCCGTCCTCGTACACCTTGCCGCACACACTGCACGAGAAGCACTCGACGTGGAACTTGCGCCCCAGCGACTCGAGCGAGACGCCCACAATCGGCTGCTCGCACTTTGCGCACCGCGGCGCATACTTCTCGGTGTAATGCGGGACGCAGAAAATCGAGCCGTCCTTGAACTTGAACGCAGACGCAACCGGGACCTGGCAGACCGAGCACACAAAGCAATCGTTATGGTACATGTTGTTCAGCGCCGTAACCACCGTCGATCCCGGCGGAAAAGTCTCTGAGCACACTGCGCAAGTCTTCTTCGACACATCCTGGACCAGTCCGTTCGAGCACGCCACACACACCACCTTGCCGTCCTTCTGCGTCAGCGGCGTCCCGTCCGACAGCGAGCACTGGCACTCACTGCACACCAGGCATTGGCTGTGATACTTGTTGCCCAACGCCAGAAACGCCCTGTCGCCAACCGTCCATAGCATGTGAGTTCTCACACCTGTCGATCCACCGCCAGCGTCCCGATCACAACATCCGCCGCCACGGCCCGGTGGCGACTGTGGCCGCAACAGTACGACACCCACACCATGGCGCGGCTCTCCAACGAGTTTGCCAGCCAGCCAGCCAGCCAGTCAGCCAGCCAGCCACACACAAACACACACACACACACACACACACAAAGAGAGAGAGAGAGAGAGAGAGAGAGAGAGAAAGAAAAACACACAGACACACACGAAAAGTCTTGATATGCATCTGCTCTACGTGGTGGCAGTGTCCGAATGATACATGCGGTGGAGGGTTGCGAACAAATGGCCGACCAACGAGACGGACGACAGGTGGGCAGGCCAGCATAAGGAGGGAGGGAGGGAGGGAGGGAGGGAGGGAGGGGGAGAGAGAGTCGAGGTGAGAGGAGCGAGGGTTACGTACTTGTCGGTAATGGGCTCGGTACATGCGGTACACTTGTCACGGAAGCGGTCCGAGTAGTCGGTGGAGCAAAACAAGGCGCCTTCCTTCTCAAAGTACTCGGTGGCCACGTTGGTCGAGCATACAGAGCATGTGAAGCACTCATAGTGAAAGAGTCCAAGTCCACAACGAAGCACTTTCCCAGAAAGTGCAAGGGAACACTGCACACATGTTGCGTTCTCCATAGCTTGCACCCCCTTTCCAAGTCGCAGACAAGTGTACTGTCGTCATGGGCCGCACCGCCGCCCGTCCTCCCAGTGTGCCAAGCGTGTCCGTGACCGCCACCGACTACATCGCCAGCCACATGCCCGCACGCGCCGCCGGCGGCTTGTGTTGGAGGGCTATTTTTTTATGCGCCTGCGCCCCATATCCCCACATCCATCGAAAACCAGCAGATGGTGGTCTTCGAGCGTGTATTGCTTGCAATGATTCGCTTGGCTATGTCATCGCCAGGCCGCGTAGAGGAAGCGCATCAGACGCCTGTTGGCCACTTACCAACCGCCCCTATGTACAGGTACTCCACGTCGTCCTCTTCACCTCAACACCCCACCCATACACGCGTACGCCCATACGCTCATACACACAACTCCAACACCCATACTGTACGCGCGCAATGCACCCGCCCCTCCTCCCCTCACCTCCCCCTGCCTTTCCACCGCAGGCATCAAACTGCGACCTTTTTTTGGACACGGCAACAATGGCGACATCCCCGTTGTCAGGGCGAGGACTCACGGGGAGAGTGTGGTTGGAGGAACAGATCATGTCGGGCCATGCCATCACTGATTCAGCGTCCGAGTGGGAGGCTGCACGGAAGGAGCTGCTGGCGGCGGAGAAGGAGGCGACGGCGGCGCTTGCCAAAGTTGCCGAGCAGCGGCGCGCACTGCCGTGGCTCCGTGTTCGGCCATCGGGCAAGGGCTCGGCTGATACCGAGAACGATTATGTGTTCCAGACGGCCGAGTCCGGCACAGATGTGACGCTCAAGCAGATGGCAGCCACTACGCCGACGGGATCGCTCCTGATCTACCACCTCATGTTCGACGCCGACTGGGAGAAGCCGTGCAGCTCGTGCTCGATGTGGATTGACTGTCTCAACGGCATCTACCCGCATCTCCTGCAAAAGACTGCCGTGGTCGCTGTCGCTGTTGCGCCGCCGGACAAACTGCGCGCTTTGGCCGAGGCCAAGGGCTGGTCCATTCCGCTTGTCTCGTCGCTCAACTCTGCGTTCTCTTGCGACTTTGGCGTCCGCTTCACCCCCGAGCAGGTCGCCGACGGTGCGCTGGCCTACAACTACGGGCGCAAGGCGTTTGTCTCGGTCATGCCGGGCTTTTCAGTCTTCCAACTCGAGCCAGCCGACGATGACGGCGAGATCTTCCACACCTACTCTGCATACGCCCGTGGCCTTGAGCCACTCAACGCCGTCTGGGGCGTGCTTGACTCGCTCCCCTTTGGCCGCAACGAGGCCAAGGGTATGGATTGGACCAAGCACAAGAGTGAGTACGACGTCGTTACTATCGAGTCGGCCAAGCTGTCGTGATGGATGTCACCTGCTCCAGGAATCGCCGCCCTCGTCCGCCCGCTCACGCCCACCCGCCCACCGCCCGCCCTTGCCCGCTCGCGCCAACTCGCCCTCGCCCTCGCCCGCTCACCGCGCCCACTCACCCTCCCTCTCACACACAACAACACCGCACTCACCACAGCACACGCACACACACTCTCACACACACTATCTCTCTCCTATACACTCATACACACTTTTCCCTCGCACCCTCACTCAACACTGTCCTCCTTCCAACTATGGTCGCCAAGGTATGCCCCTCCCGACCCCCCCCCCACCCCACCCACCCACCACCACCACCACCACCACCACCACCACCACCACCACCACTATGGCGCGGGTCCTCCTCGACTGGATCCCGTTCAACGAGATTCGGCATGTCAAGCTTGTGGGACAGGGCTCGTTTGGCAAGGTGTTCCGTGCAGAGTGGCATGGTAATGATGTGGCTATCAAGATTCCCCGGTCACGGAGAGACCAAGAGGATCTGTTTCGAGAACTGCAGCTGCTGATGGACATCAATCATCGGAATGTCATCACCATTCAT